CATAAGTCAGAGTTGAGCGTTGATGGTGTGAGGTGTAGTTGGATCTGAAGCTTATGGTTGATGGCGGGTGTTATACAGTCTCGATAACGAGGCAGTCTTGCTTCGTTTGGAATGAACCTACGTGGCCATAAAGTAAACCAGAACAATCGCATCCGGGTGTCGATGGTGATTTACAGTTCGGCCCGCCAGAAGAAGCCGTCAACGTTGCGACGTTCGGTGTGACTCCTACAAGTACACGCGTTGGATTACGAGGAATTCAGTTGGGGTCAAGCACGCACTCATCACGCAATTGAGTACATGGCTACTGGAAAGATGGATGAGAAGCAGGGGGTGAAGTGGAGAGAGGAGGTAAGGGACGCAGTTGGTAGTCGTCCGAACTCACGTCAGCACATGCCCCGGCCCCGAGAGGGGAAGGTGGTCGCGAAGGTTCAACCCCACCTCGGCCCGGGGGTGTCTTGTCGGTCGGCCGATGGCTCCGGAAGTGGGGTGTTTGGCCGGCATGTGTGGCCGTAGTGCCCGCGGCCTAAGGGCCGGACACTTTGTGCCTCTATCACGGTTGAAAGCTTAAAATGATTTACTGATGTATATCCAGAATCTCCCATTAGTTTCTCGCCCCTGGATCCTTGCTGGTAATTGTTGTATTCAAGGTGAAGAACACGAAGGGACGGCTCAACGCCGTTGATCCTTTCAACCCCACCAGCCATCATCCATGGATACAATCACTTCTGGTCCCATGCCATACACTCTCATAGGAAAGTTTTGTAGTTAGTCACTCGGCGTACAAGATGAATCAACATCCATGGAAACAGCTACCCTTTGGGTACAAGGCTCGCGTTTCCTAAACTCAATTGCATATAGCCTTACACATTGAGGGAAAGTTCAGGCATCGTTTATGTCGAAAGGCTCGACTTACGTAATTTTCCAATCTGTCAGCGAGAAACTCATACTCACACAAGAGCGGATAGAGACGTGTTCAGGCTTGATGTCGCGATCATATTGCTTCTAGAATCTTCCCAACATTAACCTCAATGCTCATGAACTCTACATATTCTCCTCGGCAAACGACCTCAGACGGCTCAAAGCTTCAATTGCAAAACTTAGACATCGTCAGTTACAAGCTTACGATGCCCGTATTTCTGCCTTCCGCGCCAAGTCCTGACAACGCGCATGACCCCGAGAACAAGAAAAACAGCAATGGCGCCGCCACTGAACATGGTCCATTGTGACGGCCAGCTCCAAATGTTACCCAGACTCCTCTCAGGCCCGCATTTTCCCGTAAACATCGTCTCCTCGTACAGGGGACATTCCTCGTTGACCACGAGAGACTCGCCAGGGTTGGGGAACTTCACACAGCTGCCCTTGTTCTGTGTCCAGCAGCCGTTGCCATTGTTCGCCTCGAACACGAGGGGTGCCTGGTCAAACTTTGCCGCCCGCTCCTGTTCGGTGACGTCTGCGTTCGTCTCTTGTCCCAGAACCACTATGGGAGCGCAGTTCATAAACATTTCGGGAACGCTCCAGCGACCGTACCATGTCCACGCCATAACGGCCGGTCCTACGGGTAGCCAGTCCGGGACGGTGAAGTTGTAGAGGCTGGGCAGGACGACCGTGGGAGAATCTCCGTAGTTGACCTCGGTGAGGTTCCGGATCGGACAGCCGCCCTCGATGGAGTGGATAACTCTCCATTGGCTCTTCCTTGTGGGCTTAAGGTCCCGTGTCACCGAGATTTGGCACGAGCCGCCGCCGTGAGAAGCGCCTCCCATGGCCCTGTGTAAGTCGTCAATACATATACTTCAAGTAGCAGCCTGTATCAATGGTTGACTTACCGCAAGTGCTGCTTTGAGCCCCTCTCCCAGATGTTGGCTACGCCGGACCAATCGTAATCCACTTCGCCTTTACATGGCCAGTCTGAGCCATCGTTGGCTACTGGACCGTTGTCCCGGAGTTGACTTGGGAAAGGAATGGGGTTCTGCATAAGCGTGTGGCTATTCACTCCAACTGAAAGAAGGAGCAGACATGCCATTAGACTTGTTGATAAGGGTTGGGCCATTTTGTGTGAAGGGTTTGTCTGCCGACTGTTTGGGCTGTAAAGAAGAAGCTGCTTGTCTCGATTAAGTCAAGACTTTCGTGCTGACCACGACTACATAAGGTAAAGAACGGAAAAGCTACCAACCAAGTCTAGGTCACTTTCTATTTTCAGGTCAAACTTTTGTCTCGCGCGATAGAGGAGCTCACTGCCGCCGTTTCAAAAAGACTGTTCTGGATCACCTCAACGTCGTACCAAGCAGCATCCCGGGCACACCGCCGTCAACAGCAGCAAAAGCAGATGGCGGTGAAGTGCTTTAACGATTCATGTTGTCGCATCTAAGGGTCCATCTAGTTCGTGATGGTATCCCTGATCACCTGCATGCCGGGTCATGTTTCCACTACATGTCGATCAAGAGTGGCAATCAATACTGAGGGGGATATCAGAGGGGTCCAGATTCACGGTGTCCCCGCTTCGGAAGACTTCCTAAAGGGGACGACGTTTCCCGCAGTGTAAAGACACAAATTATCAAGACTTTGAAAGCCGCTGTTAGATCGAATATTGTGAGGTTGAGGTTGTATTCTGCGCTTCGCGAAGCAACTCACAGAGCGAAGATGACGGCTTCTTGTTTTCGGGCGACTATTGGCCGTCTAGTTGCCTTGGGCACGATTCTTACGTTTGTGACTTTCCAGTATATTGCAGTAAAGTCAAAACCTCAACTAAGCTTCTACGAAATTTTCCTACAACTCAGTTCTTGCATCCTCCTATGTAACTTCTTAGTCGTCGTTGCGCGCTGGGCTGAGTATGAACCCATCCAGGGGCTCAAGGACAATGGCCGATTGCCATCTATCAACGTCGTTGTTCCGGCGTACAACGAGTCTGAGTTCGTGAGGAACTCAATATCCTCCGTGTTGTCCTCAGATTATCCCAGAGACAAAGTCCATATCATCGTTGTGGATGACGGCTCGACGGATGATACCTGGTCTCACATACAACACGCACTTCCACCAAAGTCTTCGACTCTTTATACAACAATCCGGCACGAGATCAACCGTGGAAAACGCCAGGCCATGGTCACGGCATTTGAAGTGGCCAACAACGAGATACTCGTGACTCTGGATTCCGACACTACTCTCGACAAGCATACTCTCCGGAACTTGGCCAGTCCCTTCGTCCTAGACAGCGACGTTGGAGGCGTCGCCGGGCACCTCTCCGTCTTCAACATCCAATCTCAAGGATGGGATAGCTTCATCCCTCGCATCCTTGACTGCCTTTTTGAACAAAACGGCAACATTCCGCGGGCTGCGCAGTCAAAACACGGGTTCGTTACCATTCTCCCAGGCGCCATCTCCGCGTTCCGCAGAGACGCCATCCTGCCGCACACTAAGGCCCTCGTGGACACGAGATTCCTCGGGCGTCCGATGAGGCACGGCGAGGACGTCCAGCTCACGATGGGACTCCTGCGCGATGGCTGGCGTCTCAAGTATCAGAGCAATGCTGTTGGCTACACAGTCGCGCCAGAGACGTTTTTGAAGGCTTTCCTCATGTACGTTCGCTGGGAGAGGAGCAACCATACCTATTGGATGCTCGGGCTTGTTCGTCTAGCATTTCGCGATGCGGCCAGATTCTTCACTCGACGCTTTGCTCGGCCGTGTTTGAGCGAGCCTGAGCTACTGCTGCCCGGAGACCTGGAGAAACAAGGTGGCAGGAGAGAGGTGAATGCCCGAACGCCGGACTATCATCCCATGCTGATGATTTTCTGCGCGGGGTTTGCCAACTTTTCATACCTGAGTATTGTGATTTCGTGGCTACGGGGCTTTTACTTCTCTCCGTGGGTTACATTCATGAACCTGGGTTGTCTCGTCGTGTTTGCCACTTGGTTCAGTACTCTGTTGTTGGCGGATGCTCTTCACGAGAGCGAAAGTAACATGGCAGTCGAAGGAGACGTCAAAGAGTCGGACGAGACCCGGTTACTAAGGACCGAGGGTTCGTACTCGAGATTGAGGAAGAAATTGCAGTATTCTTGTTTCTCTACAGTTGCCAACTTCACATTTGTCTGTTGGGCTTCTGTAATTGGATTGCTTACACTGAGGAGTCAGAGTTGGTTGACAAGGTGACGGTCTCTGTAGTAGTGGATGCGACTTCTTAGACAGTAAATCAAACACTCTGCGCTCATGCTGTACTTTTCGGAAGAATGTCTACGAAAGCGCATAGGGATTTTTCTTGAATCCAAAAGAGGAAAGAAGCCGATCAAGCAGATAACACTCTACCCGCCACGCATTCTGAGAAAAGCAGCCAAGCAAATCAACACTCTACCCGCCACTCAGTCTGAGAAAAAGCAGCGGAGTCAGAAGACAGAACCAGAAAGATTTGGCGCCCGTACCCTGCGATGTCGCCATCGACCAACGGCATCGCCGTGTACGAGAATATCGCAGTCTTCTAGCCTCATGCAGTCCAAGCTGGAAAAATGCAAGTGACGGTTTCGGGTTCTCCCTCTTTACGGCAGGTATTGGCAGACAAGTCGGGGCGCCCAGCCACCGGCGTGGCAACGGAGGTTCCATTGGACCCCTACACAGTAAACCGGGATCCGTAAGCTTATACGCGGTGGCCAGTGAACAGTCTGGAACCCATCATATCAGGGCTTACTTCATTTATTTAGAGTTTCGGGCCGGCAAAGAGGGGGGGGACGTGGCCAAGCGATGCTGCCGCGTGGGATGCAACACAACATGGCGACAACGGAGAAGATTACAAAACACGTGTGAGCTGGGATCAGTTGCTGCTGCTCAGACAAAAATACAGATATTCTGCCGGGAGCAATGCCGAAGGGATGAGGGTAGGGGTCGGGAAGTGAATGGGGGCAAACCCGCCTATGAGGCCTCTCGCTCCATGCCATTCATCTTCCAGAGTTCCTGAACTCTTGCTGGTTCAAAATTCGCATTCTGTTGAGGAGCGGATCTGAATCGGCTCAAAGACAGTTATGAGTCCCCCAATATTGTCAAAACACGGTCAAGTCATCCGCAAATGTACTGTAAGTCACATAACCACTTGAGTCCTCCGTCAAAAGTATACCCAAAACTGACATAATTCCAAGGTTCCAGGAACAGTAGCATTCACATTCGATGACGACTCGTGGAACGAAAAGGATGAAATCCTAACACTGTTCGCCCAGCGAAATGCACAAGCTTCCTTCTTCCTACGTAGCACTCTATGGACCGCAGATTCAATAAAAGACGACGGGAAATCTGTAGTACAGAGTATCCACAAAAACGGGCATCTGATTGGATTTAGCACCTCGAGTCGCCATCCTCACAGCGGCGTGGAGCATGACGACCTCCTCAAAGCCCGTCAGAAGATTTCCACGGTTCTCGGAGCCTCATCCTCCTCTGAAGGCCTTCGACCACAGTACATTTGGTCGTCCCCGGTCGATTGCACAGTACGGAACGGCTGCGTTGAAAAGTTGACGATAAATGGTCAGCGACTGGTACTTTGGGACGGTAGACCGGCGGACATGAGTAACAACACGGAGACTACGCTTCTCCTCGACAGACTACAAGCGGCAGACTCCGGGCGAGATTCTTCTCTCATCCCGATACGAGGGTTTCAAAAAGAGAGTAATCACAGTTTCGGCGATCTACTAGATGGGTTCCTACAAAAGGGCTTCCAACCGGTTACTGTAGGAGACTGTATAAATGACCCCAAACACTTCTGGTATCTAGATCACTTGGGACGTCCGGCGACTAGCTTGGCGTTCGGCCGCCATGATGTAGTATCGCCTGGCACATTTCTCAGTCAAGTTCGATGGAGCGGGATACTGGCTGTATTCTTCTTAGAGTTGATGGCCCTGTCTTGCCTGTTCTGGGCTATTTGTCGGTATAGAAAGATCAAGTCACACCAACGTGTAGTTCAATGATGACGCATTACGACCAAGTCAAGAAAGAAGTACCAAAAGGTGTCGACACACTCAATGACCCAGACTTACACGTAACGATCTCACAAAAAGCAGAAAACACTCGTGAATTTAAGCAACATCAAGCTAGGTAGAATGGCCACTTACTTCTCTGGGAATGAGTAGACATCACTCTCTATATATTTTTTCTCGAAGAAAGATACCTCATCCATGAATAATCGGGTGCAAGACCGTACCAGATAAACCTAATGCGGTATGATCACACGGCATATTCGTCAATGCATTTCACACAGTGGCGCTCGTTTAATAGCCTGGGATCTCAGAGTATAAGTAATTGATTGTCCCTCAGCTCGAAGAAGCTTCGAACACCTGGCAGATGGGAACAGTTACTGAAATGGCTTCTTATGTGCGCGAAGTCTATGTGCCCTTCACTCTAAAGCCGTAACAAGTAGGCCCCATCTATCTCATCCTTCCGCGGCCAAGTTTTAGTTACAAGTGTCCTATATCCTGCAACCCTTCACTCGCACTCAACACGAACGGACCAGACTCCCTTCAAAGAGTGGCACTGCCTCGTGCTGAAAGCAGTAACCGCACTGCCTCTGCAGTTTCCGTTGTTGTATCCTCTCACTATTTACGATACTTGTGGTTAGATGTTTCTGTTTCTCACTTTGTTTCAGGGTTCAAGAGCTTTATTGTCTTACTCTTGCACTTGGTGTCGTAGTCAATGACCTTCATGCCCCAGTCGGTGCTGTAGAGGGCGTGGCACTCGTTGGCGTTCCAGTCCAGGTTGCCGCCGCCGGACGAGGAGCAGTCCGTCTTGCCGTACTTCTTGACTCTCATGTCGTAGGCCGCGGCGGCGGGGGCGAAGATGGCGCAGGCCGTAGTGGCGGCGGTGAGGATGTTGGTGATGAGCATCTTGGAAGTGTTTTAGGTGGAAGATGAATATTGAGTTGGAGTTTGGAGCTCTGAAGTCTGATCTGAAGAAGTTCTTGTTGTGAGTTGATGAGGGAGAGAAGTCGTGGAATAGAGGAAAGAAGACGTGTTTATATATGTCAGAGACCTGCGAGAGTAGACGCTGGTCATCTCTTCGTCTCGTATGGGAATCTGAGCCTGTGGATACTTCATGATAGCTGGATCAAAAGTTCCTGGCGAGTTCCCGTACATCTTCAGCCCTGTCCCGCCCTGCCTACACTTACTTCGCCTTCTCCACGTCGGGCAAAAACTGACAACTCGACTTTTAGGTAAAAGAATTCCGAAGGTATCGTCAAGCGCAAAAGGGGCTTAGCAGAGACAAATGTAAGCGCCAAGAAGCACTGCGGGCCTTTAGATCATGACATTCTGCAGTCTCGAGGATTTCCAATCATCTTCTTGGCAATATCAGACGATCGCGAGTGAGAGAAAGACACCAGCTTCCTACTGCGGTTGTCTTCACGGTAGCCGATTGGTCTGGAAGGCATAGGGCTGGGACTGTTTAGACTTTTGTACCAGTGGGGCCAAGGATTCCGCCGGGCATACGGGGTGTTGTTGATGGGGGCGGAAGGAATGAGCACCTTAACTTTGTGATAGAAACTCGAATCCTTCCGACAGGGTGGGTATTTGACGAAAAGACCGAGGAGATGGTATAGTCTCGTTGAAAGCCAACATGGACAATGCAAATTGAGAGTCAACATATCCAATGCCAATTGAGGCAATATGGTGAGGTACCCAGACCATCAAAGCTCAGTGAAGCTTGTATCAAGCTACGCTGTCCAACACAACCCTTTGCCTCCGACCGTGGCTTCCGACAACAGCATTGCAATTTCCATCAAAGGATGCGGGGAAAAACGACTTCGTGTTGATGCAGAATTTCATTTCAGCATCATGCACAACCCCCCCCCCCAGATCTCCAAGGATCGACCCGAGCCGCCTTCGCCCGGGCAATGTGGCACGGCCTAGGGCTGCGACAGGGGGGGACAGAGAGAGAAAAGTGGACGAACATCAGCCCACGATATTCCTCTAGATGAACAAAACTGATGAACGGGGGCAGGATCCAACATCGACTTACCTTAATTACTAGTAGATGGAAAGTATGATTGTCGACTATTACCTTCGTCGGGCAACTAGCTTGAGGGGCATAGCCGCGGTTCTAGGCGACGGGTGACGAGACTGTGAGACCAATGTTTTTGCTCCTCCAACCAACCAACGTATAAGTCTCGGGCGGAAAACTCCACCTTCTTGCTCGCTTATAGCGGGACCTCTTAGACTCTAGATTTGACGATGTTTCATTGAAACTGGATAGTGTTCAGATGTACATTAGTTCTCTCTCATACGCCGCAATAAGTCTCGGTTAGCCTATGCGTAGTTTAAGTTAATCAAAGGATTGAAAGGATCCTACTGCCCATTCCTTCCGATGCAGGAGATCAGGAACTCATGGCCTGTTGAGGTAGTTCCAGGGTTGACTCCCAAGCCTAGGTTGATTGGTTGGTTGTTGTTAGCTTGGGAGGTGGAGTTGTTCGTATAGAATATACTTGAAAGAATGTACTAAATGGCCTATGTACATATAGCCAGGCAGATAAGATCTGTAGATGTTTACACAGTATGTACCTGACCTTATCCAATACGTACTGAACGCGTCGTATGAGCCGGGGAAAACTCAATTCCCAAAGATGTCGAGCCCGTGCTTAATCATCCAACTCATACCTTCCGCCCGCCAGTCGTCCGTTTCCAACACAGTGCCGTTGAGACCAAACACCACGTCGCTACCAGATGCACCGCCTTCCGTTGAGTAGGCAGGCCACTCGCCCAGATCCGGAGCGCCATTGGGATCAAGAGAGACGAAAAAGTTGACCCACGCTGCGGACATGGTCTTTGACAGCGCGGTGGCCTTCTCAGTGTAGCTTGTGCTGTTGCCTCCAAAAGGGTTTACGTCGTAGCCAAGGCCGTTGAGGTTGTTGAATACGAATGCGACCTGGGTGGAGGTAAGTCTTTGCACAACAGCTGATGAACCGCGAATGTCTTTGCCACGTCACAGTCAACAAACTTACCTCCTGGAAGTGAGTCGCGCCAATGTACTCTGGAACTCCATTCACGGTAACGTCGAAGCGATATGCGTAAGACGGCACGCCGTTCTGGGACCATATGATGTTGGCCCTGCGGCGGAGGAAGCCGAAGAACCTGCCAGAATGTCAGTACACACAAGCCTAATACCGAAGAGTCATTAGGACATACATGTCTCCGAAGAAAGCCCCGCCGCGTCTCTGCTGCAGACCCCGAGCTACGGCAATCTCCTCGCCGGGCTGAATGATGTGTGGCCATGTTTCCAAGCTCGGGATGCCGACGGCCTGGTCATCGGGGTATAGAGCCAACGCCTCATCAACAAGCTCCTCGATACTTTGGCCCGTGGTCTCCTCGACATTGGGAGCCATGATGCTGCGTACGGCAAACGCCATGTCCTCATCAGTGTTGATCGGTCCACCGTTCGGGCCCCTCCCCTGGCCGAATGCAGAGCCTTCATCCGAGTTGGATCCGATCAGAATGGGGACCTTTACAAAGTCTCCGCGTTCGAGCTGCGACGTCGCAAAGTCTGCAAGGAAGTCGCCATCCTTCATGGGTATGAAGCTGAAGGATGACGTGGTTGCGTTCAGCACGGCATTGAACTCGTCCAGAGGTGCTGTGCGCAGGCACTCTATCGACTCCTGAGTGCCGACAGTGGAAGCGCAAGAGGAGATGTTGCCGACAAAGAGGTCGTAGTTGGTCTGGTAGGCAGTGGAGTTGAAGCCGCCGACCATGCGGGGGATGAGCCCTCCGAAGCCGGACTGGGCAGCCGCGCCTCTGAAGAGGCCGTCGTCACGTCCTTGAAAATGTTAGTCGTAAAGTATATCTCGCATGCGAATGGTGTCAACTTACCGTTGTAGGCCAGCACTTGCCCAGCGACACTCTCAGCACCTGAGCTTTCACCAAATATGACAACCTTGTCGGCGGCGCCGCCAAAGCTGGCAATGTTTTCGTTGACCCAATGCAGAGCCAGGCGCTGATCTCTGAAACCCAAGTTGGTCGCGCCAGCGTCAAGGGCCTCCTTGCCACCGGGAAAGCCAAAGACGGATAGCCGATAGTTTAAGCTAACCGCAACGAGGGGAGTACCCTGCTTGACACTATTCTCGACGATGAAAGAGAGGTTGTATCGCCTGTCTGCTGATCCGCCCATGTACTTATCACTGTCAGCAGTGGTTCTCGCGAGGGTCCGGCAAAAGAACATACCAGGCCGCCTCCGTGGATCCACACAGCTACGGGAAGCTGCGCATCAGCAGCAATACCGGCTGGGCGAACAACATTGAGATACAGGCAGTCTTCCGAAGACTCATAGCCAATCATGTCGGAGCCATAACCAACGCAATGCTTTGGGTACTCGGTGGCTGTATGCGTGCCGTTCCATGCTGAGTCTAGGCCTTGGGCGATACGGAATCGTTCAGGAGTCTAGAATGTTCAGTATGTCGGCATCAACCGAAGGTTACAGCCACATACCTTGGCGTATGGCATTCCAAGGAAGAAGTCCTGGCCATAATCTGCGCTGTGAATGCCAGTGTAAGAGCCATTCTTTACAGTGATAACGGGACCGTTGTCTCTACCACGGATAGCGGCGGACCATACTGGCGCGGATAGGTACAGGACCGTAGCTAGGAAGTACACAAAGAAAGCCATTCTCTTCAGCCGCTGATATCGATCCGGTTGTGGCCTGGGTGTCGGTAAAAGGGGAGATCGGCTATCAGGGGCCTTAGAACCCTCTTTATACCGCAACCTCTTCATGTCGAAGGACATTGTCTACTCAGGTACTACGCCATCGCACCCCATTAGTAAAACATGGCCACGAGATTTCGTTCGACAAGGGTTGACGGCAATCAGAAACTGGGGTCTATCGGACCGACACAATTCGCTTCTCTACATGGCGAGGGGAATAGCCAACGGATATCGAATAAGAGACGTTCGCAAGGTTGCCGGCCCTCCGTCATCGCCCCAAGTAAGTAACC